CCTGCAGTGTGAACATAGAAGGGTGGTCCTCCACTGAGCTTCCCTGTAACAGACTGCATTAGCCACTCTGTTCAGAGAACACTCCTTCCTGCAGGAATAAATATGTAATAACTTTCAGAATTGATGTTAAGTATTTATTTTACACTCACTGAGCTTTAAAAGATATTTTTTCCACAATATGCGCTGTTTTTCTTATCATCATAAGAAATTGTAACAGCTGCTGAATTTTTCCAGACTGGATCAAAAACCAACCTCCTACCAGCTGCACAGCAAGAGAAGCTGAAGCTCTCTGATTGGATGGTTTTCTGACTGCACTGCTCTCTGGGAATTGTAGTTCATCTCTGTTCAAGATGTTTTGTTTTTCCAGTGATTAGAACCTGTTTCATCTCTGTTTGTAGGAGCCACTACTCTGCCCACTGTCGTGTCTGGATGATTAGTGCAGCTTTAATAGTCATGGTTGTTTACATTCATTTGTGCCTGTCACATCATGTAAATCACTGGTTACAGGTGTAGTTGGAGGTTTCTACAAGAAGAAATGGAGACACAGGGAGAAGACGAGATGGAAGAAGAAGTGGTAGTGAGCAGGAGCACCCCCGTTGGTGGTCACGTTGGTGGTCATGGTGGTGTTTGGGGTGGTGGTCACAGTGGCGTTCAGGGGGCTGGTGCTGCTGTTGGTGGAGGCTGGAGACAAAAACGTCCCCAGTATCTGCTTCAGAAAGTTGTTATAACTCCTCACTTGGGTGAAGACCAGCGTGTCACCTGCTCGTCCTGTGGTGGTGGTGGTGGAGGTGTTCTGGACTGTTAACACTGCTGCCTGGAACCAAGAACCATCCTGCTGACACATCACTGGACCACCAGAGTCCCCCTGAACAAACGGACACAAAACGGCCATGATTCTGATTGTGGATGGACCCTGTCCTGACTCTGAAGTGCACATTCAGCCACGTCTTTATGTAAAACTACAGTTTTAGTTTACAAACTTGTGTCTTTGCAAAATCAGCAAATATAAACTCGGTATCAGTATTTAACTTTTCAGTGTATCAGACCCAGAGACTAGTAAGAAGTTTGGTGCTTCTCTCTCTGGATGAAGACGAACAAACACCTTGATGAAATGCATGTTAACACGGTGTGTATAACAATAACAGTAACACTCTTTGTTGTTCACCTGCTCCAGTGTAAACGCTGTCATACAAATGCTGTCAGTCGCTGCTGTGGGCCCACAGTTAACCACCGAAGTCTGGAACTCCTGCAGAACCTGTTCCACTGAAGGCAGAGAAGAAGACAAAGGTGAGAGGTGTCACACCCGAGTCACCCAGACTGTCTGCCACTGCCTATTGGTGCTTCTAATGTAAAGATTTGAGACAGAGTTAGCATTACTGTTGGGTTAGGGTTAGGGTCAGTCATGATTTTTAATTAAATGATCAACATTGAAATCCTGTGATGGATCTTTGTATTTGCACTTTTCCTCAGGAAAACATGCTAAATGTTTTGTGTGTTCTGAGGGTATTTGTTGTAAGTGGTACGCTCCAGGCTGAATGATGGGTAAAATGCTGACTGCGTAGAATGAGTTGTCTAAAATGAGTGTCATTTTAAGTCACACAGGCCGTAAACACACCACACTTTACAGACCGTTGTGACTCCGGATGTTAGCTTACTGTGGCTAACTCACAGTGAATCTTGTCCAGGGACAAACTGAAAGCAGGCTGACACTCTGAGCTCGGTTTGCTGTGTTGAAGACGCGTTACCTCAGGTTCCGAGATGTGAGGCCGTGGAAGTTTGTCACTGAACAGTGTGTGGCTTTTACTTTGTTCAGCCTATTTCTGTCGGGAGCTAATGCTAGCTAGCAGCTGTCTGCAGACATCAGGCTGGCATCAACACAGTGCAGATGAATCAGTTTCTGTCCTGTCTGAGCTTACCATTAAAGTGGACGTGTGGACTGAGGCATCTGCTGCTCTATGGGATAGTGTTTGTTTTTAAATTACGCAGAATAATGACGCCCTTGTTAGCGGTGCAGGGTTTTGCACATGTACCTAAATGTGCTACGTTTTAGTTGTTTGGTCTACAGTTTACAGTTTAGCCAATAATGTGCAGTTAACTCAACCTTATATTCAATAAAACAAGTTGCTGAAATAAAAAAGACAGTTCCCAAGAGTGTGTGAAGCAGCATTAATTGACCTGATGTAACTGAATCCTTGTGATTCAAATCAAACCGACATCTCTGCTGTCATTCAGCCTGAGGACTCACCCCCTCCTTGTCTGGCGCTCCAGCCGGCAGCCCAGCAGGTGGAGCCCACACTGAAGGTTCGTCCATTGCCCAGGCAGATGGGCTGGATGAGGTTGGACAGGGTGGGTAGCGATGCCATTTGCAGCACTGCCACGTTAGACGTATTCAGATTGCTCAGAGTGATGTTTGTCACTTTCAGTGTCACCTCAGAAGGGTTGGAGCCATTCTGTTTCAACCGACCCAAGACCACGGCCCATTCAGCCGATTTGGGAGAACTGTGGGGGTTGAAAGAGCTAAATTAGGACCCCCATCAGATTGGTCTGAAGATGCAAATCCTTACAAATAGTTTTATTTTTAAAAATAGTCTCGGTCATTCCCTAAAGTCGCTGCTCACTGTGGTGTTGAATAACCAGGAGCATTTTTCCATCCAAAACATCCCTGCAGCTGTCTCACCTTGAGAAGCAGTCGGCGTTGCTCAGCACATGCTCCACGGCCACCAGAGTCCCACCACATACATGACTTCCATTCTTCTGTATGCTCACTATCCATGGCCACACACCAGCTGTCGCAACCGAGCCTCCTCCCATCAAACCAGAATTCATCGGGGCTTGTCCACAGACCACAGCTAGACAGAAAAGAGAAAGGGGGACAGGTTTTTTTGAGAGGTGTGCAACCATGTGACCTCAAATTGCCAAGTTAGACTTTGTTCAAACCCACCGACGTGTTATAAATGACAGTAGTGATGCCAGAGATATCAAACCGATCAGGCTGAATTTAGGGTGAAGTTTAGAAAAGACATGTCGGTTTGATGAACTGCAGCCATAAGAGTCTGGGGTTTGAATACACTCAGTGTAACTATTATTATAGCTGCAATGAAGAGCTGCAGCGAGATCATAGAGAAAACCTCTAATAGTGGTACACCACTAGACTGAAAAACTCTTTCTTTCCCTCTGCCATCAGACTCCTAAACAGCTGAGGAGTTTATTACCAGGAAATACGTCATGTACTGTTTACATTCTCAGTTTGCACATTGACTGTTGACTGCTGCACATGCTGCTCCCATGCAACATACATTCTGTTATATTCTTATATATTTTTATTATATTGCTGCATTTGCTGCTTAAAGTGCCTTAGATTTTGTGTTATTTATCTACTTTATATTTCATTTGTATTTTGTGACATTCATGTGGACAGCAAAGTAAGAATTTCATTGTACAGGGAAACATGTTTCCTAACTGTGTATATGACAAACACTTTGAGCTTGAACTTTGAACATAGTGGAAAAATGAAGAATTATATTCACACTGTTAAAACCTGTGAAGTGAGTCACAGACTCTGGACATGCACTCACGTGTGGCTGTAGTTGTTGGAGTGAGGGTGGGTGGAGCGATGCATGTTGGAGCGAAGGTGGGTGGAGCAACAGTTGTTGGATTGATACTGGATGAAGAGATGGTTGTTGGAGCAAAAGTAGTTGAAGTGACAGTTGATGGAGCAAAGGTGGGTGGAGCAACACTTGTTGGAGTGAGGATAGTTGGAGTGATACTGTTTGAATTAATGGTGGATGGACTAAGTATGGTTACAGGTGGCAGTGAGCTCAAACAGGTGACAGTGAGATCACCGTCAGTTCCAGTGGACGTGAAGTTGACAAAGCCCGGCTGTTCACTGGCGACTTGGCTGCTGATCCAGGACTGGTACTGGGACACTCTAGTGTAGACTCCTGGTAAATGAGGCACGACACAAGCAATTCCAAAACTCACAATGCCCCCCTGGATCCAGCGACCGCCCTGCTTGCTCACTAGCGGACCTCCTCCGTCGCCCTTCAAGGAGAGAATCAATTAGAAGAGTGTCCAGGAGGTAAACCCCGAAAGGATCCGATGTACACAGGTATAGATAGACTAGATAAAATGTTACAGTGATCACCTGACAGGTGCCCTTCCCTCCAGCAGGTGACCCAGCACACATCATGTTGTCTGTGATTGTACCCACTCCGTAGTCACAGTTACACTGTCTGTTCCCCACAACCGGCACATCAACCTCCCTGAGGTTGTATGGGACAGGAGGGGGCACTGAAGAGACACACTGAGATCAGTAAACAGCATGTGAAATACACTTAAAATGTAGTTTTACTAATAACGATAACATATTCAACATGGTTGTTAGACCACAAGGAAAAACTCAGTGTGGTTTGGTGAGAATCTGTGACTTGATCCAGTTGCTTTACGACCCACCTCCAATTGCTGTGTTTCCCCAGCCAGTGACCCAGGCATCGGTGCCGTTGTAGAAGGTGCTGCCTGAGGCTGCCAGGCAGACGGGCAGGACGTGGGTGGTGAAATTCACTGGAGACGACAGCCGCACCAGGGCGATGTCGTTGTCCAGCGTAGCAGGGTTGAAGTCGGGGTGACTGATGATCTGCGTTACCGTCCGAAACACCCTGTAGGGGCTCAATGATAATAATGTCTGGCTTCCCAGAAACACCAACAGATTGCTTGTGTCGTTGCTGAAGTAAGAAGAGAAACAAAAAGAGTAAAGACATGAAAAGCAGAACTGTGGTCAGGAGCACGATGCAAACATTCAAGACCAAGTCCAGTTTGTAAGGAGCGCAATGGATGTTGCAACAGGGAATGATCTTTACCACCCGTTAGTCACTGTTATCCTGGCCTTGTCATTTATCCTCTTAGCTACTCGTTCATGTGCCCAGTATGCTTTTTCATGTCCTCAAATTAGTAAGTCCTAGTTGCCTAAAATATTCCCTCACATGAAGGAGTTGTGCCCTTCAGCCTACACATGTATGTACCCATGTTCTTTGAAGGCTCCAGATCACTAGAGCAGAATTTTTATGAACTGAGAGATATAAATTATGATCACGTTTTACAGGCACAGCCTGAGGTGTATCCCTGTATCACAGTCCAAGATCCATCCATCCACTTTTGGCTGCTAATCTAGAGTTGGATCACAGTGGCAGCAGGCCAACAAGGTCAGTCCAGACATCCCTCTTCCCAAAAGTGTTTTCCAGCTCCCCCTGGGGGATCCTGTGGTGTTCTCATGCCATCTGAGAAATATAATGTCTTCATTATATGCTTGGTCTTCCCGTAGGGTCTCCTGCCGGGATGTGGCCTGGAAACTTCTAGTCAAAGGCGCCTCATGTGGGTTTGAGTTTACCAGATGGGCCTTGCACTCCCCCACCATTTCCTCCAGTTCCCCATTCACTTGACAACTCTGGTCCTGTCTTTTACCATCTGCCACCCCCAGATTGGGAACCACTGCTTTAGAGATTGTGTTTACCTTGGGAAGCACTGAGCAGCCGTCACAAACCATTCACTGGTAATGAGGGATCCTCCACACAAGAGGAAGCCATTTTTGAACACGCCGATCTGCCAGGGCCAGCTGCCTGGAGCGGCACTCTGTCCCCCAACAATCCTGGTGTTGTAGCCAGCCTGGCCACACACTGCAGAGAGACAATGAAAACACAGAGTGAGCAACACTGTCCCCACTGTGGTTTCTCGGGATTATAAACTGTGTCATGAGGATTACGTTGCTGCGAGTGTGCTGGATGCGCTCAGGTTCCTGAGTCACAGCATTAAAATCGGTCAGATCCGGTCATAAATCCTGGACATAACAGACACTCACGCGTGGCTGCGGGCAGTGGAGGGAGGGCTACAGGTGGCGGCAGGCTCGGACAGGTGACGTTGAGGTCACCATCGGTCCCACCAGACATGAAGGTGACAAATCCCGGTTGGTCACTAGAGACTTGGCTGCTGATCCAGGACTGGTACTGGGACACTCTGGTGTAGACTCCTGGAAAATTCGGCAGGGAACAACCGATTCCAAAACTCACAATTCCCCCCTGGATCCAGCGACCGCCCTGCTTGCTCACTAGCGGACCTCCTCCGTCGCCCTTCAAGGAGAGAATCAATTAGAAGAGTGTCCAGGAGGTAAACCCCGAAAGGATCCGATGTACACAGGTATAGATAGACGAGATAAAATGTTACAGTGATCACCTGACAGGTGCCCTTCCCTCCAGCAGGTGACCCAGCACACATCATGTTGTCTGTGATCGTACCCACTCCGTAGTCACAGTTACACTGTCTGTTCCCTACAACCGGCACATCAACCTCCCTGAGGTCGTATGGGACAGGAGGGGCCACTGAAGAGACACATTCAGATCAATAAACATGTGAAATACACCTTAAAGGTAGTTTTAACACGCAATGGATCATTGATACTGACTCTTGGTTTGTCTTTTTGCTCCTCCCCAGGTACAGCGACATATTAGACTGAGTAGTTACCACGTAGTTCCTTGTTACTTCATATTAATTAAAAGTATCTAGGGACACTTTGCTGTGAGTTCACAGTTAGTGTCTTAATAACAAACCAGAGGCATGAGGATTGAAAAATCAGCAGCAGCATCAAACTCAGACAACATATAATAATAATAATAATAATAATAGTATTCAGATCCAAATCATATTCTGTAGCATTGCTAATGTGATGCCTACAAACTTAAAACTCAACAGTAGTGAGGAGTGTTACATTTCATTTGACCTTCATCAGTCCAGTAACAAAGAACAGCATCGTCAGTCGCTCAGTGTTATTCAGGTACAACTAATGAAAAAAGTGATTAGTTCACTGATTCACAGATACTTATGAACTAATCACTGCCTGCTGACTCGTAGCAACGTATCTTTCTTCACCGTGTCATCCTCCATTCAGGGCTAATCAAGAACTATTTATCAATTCATTAATTATCAGGTTGTTCCTCAGAGACTTGTGAAGGTGTGGTGGACTGTATTGTAACATGTTACCACTTTCACAAGCGAGTTACAGTTTTGTTTGTGTTGTGCACATGCATGCGGACGTGGGTGATGTGATACATGCAAACAACAAGCAACAGTGTTTAAATTGTAAACGTAACTTTTCTTGGTTGGACAGGAAACTCCCCAGGTCACCTTTAATGACCTTTTTTCTGGCGCCAACATCTGAACAACCTGGTTGCTGCTCCAAGAGCAGAGAAACAGTCTGTATGTTGTGTGTTCTGTCCTGCACTTGTGTTGTGGAGTGTGACACGAAATACTTAAGCTTCTCTCCAAAGCTGTGTGGTTGCTAGTGTTGCAGACAGACCAGGATCAAAATACTAGCACAAACTGGAAGTTACAGCAGGATTTGGTTGCTCCCCTGATGTAGAGGAGGAAGTGCACTGTTTCATTCATGCATCTGAGAAACCAGTTGCTGCCACCACTCTAGTCGAGCTTCTTCTGATCCCGTTGCTTTACGACCTACCTCCACTTCCAACGTTGCCCCAGCCGGTGACCCAGGCGTCGGTGCCATTGTAGAAGGTGCTGTCTGAGGCTGCCAGGCAGATGGGCAGCACATGGGTGGTGAAATTCACCGGTGAGGACAGCCGCACCAGGGCGATGTCGTTATCCAGCGTAGCAGGGTTGAAGTTGGGGTGATTGATGATCTGCGTTACCGTCCGAAACACCTCACTGGGGCTTGATGTTGCTAAACTCTGGCGGCCCATGAGCACTAACAGATTGCTTGTGTCATTGCTGAGGTAAAAAGGAGAAACAAAAAGTGGAAAGACATGTAAAAGCAGGACTGTGGTCAGTAGGGGCACATCCATACACAACAATCACGGTTTGATAAGTGCCTCGGTTTGAAGTCACAGTTCGGTTCATTTTCCATACAGAAAGAATAAGTGGCAGACCGGAGCCCAAGAAACAATACAGAAATAAGACAATTGTTGTGTTTCCCCGGGAAGCCAAGGTGTTCCCCAACAGGAGCCCTTAATAATAACAACAGAGGGTCTTCTACTAGCTTTGGCTTCTCATTTGCACTGGTCGTTTGCTAGCCAGAGGCTTTTCTAAAGTACGCCAAAGTGCGCTCTGGTCCACCACCTGATATGTTCAGGTGGAAACAGCTTTGGGGAAAAAAGGTTTTCTCACACATAGCGAGCCTACCGTTAAGTACTGTTGACGACTGCATTCGGTACACATCTGCACCGAACCTAAAGTTCTGAAATGGTTCAGTACTACTACGTGTACCTTTACACCATTTGTGGTCGAGAGCACTTTGCAAACATCTCAGACCAAGTCTAGTTTGCATGGACCTTGATGCCTGTCAAGACAAGGAGTGATCTTTACCACAAGTTAGTGGCTGTTATCCTGAAATGATGTTATTCTCTCAACCACTTGTTCACGTGCCCAATATGCTTTTTCATTTCCTCAAGTTAGTTAAAGTCCTAACTATATGTTATTTCCATCCACACATCCACGATCAGCCATGATTTAGTTCTGAGGCTACTCTCCCTAAAAGTGGGCGTCCAGCTCAGGTGACTCCAAAGCCACAACACAGAATGATCAGTGAGGTAAAGAAGGAGCCCAAGTAATGGCTGAAGGCTTAAAGGAATCATCAGAGCTGGTCAACATCTGTTGATCAGTCAACCACACACACATCATGGTGCATGGCGCATTGGGTCCATGGCAGGACACCACAGAGGAAGCTGCTGCTCTCCACAATAAAACAGCGCTGGACCTGAAATTTGACAAAGAGCAGCTTGAGTTTCAGGAATTTTGCTTTATTCCTGTCCCCGTAATCCTCTCAAGACCTCAAAGGATTTATCGGATGTCCAACCTCCAGGTCATGAGCGATTGTGTTTATGCCGCTGCACGGTGGTGTGTTGTTTGATCATGGATTTCTAGTCAATGCTCACCTTGGGAGGCACTGAGCAGCGGTCATCACCCATTTACGGTTAATGAGAGACCCTCCACAGAAGAAGGACCCATTTCTGACCAGACCGACTTGCCAGGGCCAGCTGCCTGGAGGGGCGCTCTGTCCTCCAACGATCCTGGTGTTTAACACAGCCTGGCCACACACTGCAGAGAGACAGACGATGAAACACAGTGAGCAATGATGTCTGCGCTCTGGTTTCTACAGGTTATAACCTGGTTCTTGTTTCAGGTTCATGACTCAGTGCTAAAATTAATCCCAGTCCACAGCTGATCCAGGTGTTTCATTGAATGTACCTTTAGTTCTCAGCCTGGGATTTTCACACAAAATATTTAGAACATGAATTTTGGACCATTTCCATCCAACAAACATCCAAATGACAAATATGCATGAAGCTCTGACTCACCATCCAGCTGTGAGTGAGACTCTGAAACAGAAAACAAATAATAAAACCTTCTCAAGCAGCAGTTTTTTTATTTCCAGATGTTTTGATGTGACGTACTGTATGTACATGATATGAATGTTGTGACAATCAAACATTTGTTTGTAAACTCCTTCAAGCACTAAGGTACAGTAACAGAGAGGAAATGTTCATGCTACAATAACCTAAATGTTAGTGTTATATTTTCCTGTCATGTTTTGTTCACCACTGCTGGAACAGTTTGTCCATCACTGTGACTGAACAGTTTCAGACTTTGTGTTTGTTCAGGCTGGAGTCTGTCAGGTTTTTGGATTCAGTAACATTACATTACTTTTAAAGACATACAGTATTAAGTCAGCTGTTGACAGCAGCAGTGTAAAGTTGTATAGCAGCAGCTCACAACAATGTGCTGCGTTGCAGATGAAAGCTCAGGAGCTCATACAGTCGAGTGTGGTGTTGGTGTGTGGGTCTGTTACACACAGCTTCTGGTTCAGGAATGGGTCCGTGCAGCTGAGTGTGGTCTATGTGTGACATCTGCTGGTCATTAAGGCACACAGCATGTTGTGTAGACGATATCTGGGCCTTGAATCGAGTCTGTCCAACACTAAGCTTGTGTTACATACAGAGGTGTTTTCTTTACTGATGTAATTAAAAGTTGTCTAATGTAAATCACAGTCTGGTACAACAAACCTACTACAGCTCCAAAGAAACAATCAGAACAGTAAAACTGGTCCATACTGTACCTGTATATTGAAACGCCTTAACCATAGTCCTCAAACAAAAGTGGATGAAGTAATAATACTGGTAAATATATTTTAAAATTTGTGACTCTGTAAAGTTGTAAAAATGTGGCTGTGTAGTTTCCTGAAGTCCAAACATCAGGTGAAAGATGACAATCTGATATCTGCTGATATACAACTTTACACTGCTGCTGTCAACAGCTGACTTAATACTGTATGTCTTTAAAAGTAATGTAATGTTAGTGAATCCAAAAACCCGACAGACTCCAGCCTGGACCCATATTTTTAACATGTCGTTTCGACTTGGGCAGTTCCCCAAAAATATGAATTTATTCCACTGTATAAATCTGGGGATAAGCACAACTTCACAAATTATAGACCGGTTTCTCTGTTGTCACAATTTTCAAAAATCTTGGAAAAACTCTTTAATAACAGATTAGACACATTTATTGATATACAGAAAATCCTCTCTGATTGCCAATATGGTTTTAGGTCGAACCGTTCGACATCTTTGTCCATTACCGACCTGATGGACGACATTACAAGTGCTATGGATGAGAAGAAATACACGATGGGGATATTTATTGACCTAAAAAAAGCATTTGATACAATCAATCATGAATTATTAATGGACAAGTTAGAAAAATATGGGATCAGAGGAATAGTTCTGAAATGGATTAGAAGTTATTTGACACAGAGGCGTCAATTTGTGAAGTTGGGTGAATACCAATCGAGTGAGCTGGACATTGTATGTGGAGTGCCTCAGGGTTCTGTTTTGGGACCTAAATTATTTATACTATACATTAATGATATATGCAAGGTTTCTGATTTAGTGAAAGTGGTTTTGTTTGCTGATGACACTACCATATGGGCATCGGGTGAAAACCTACAGCAACTCTCTGGACGGGTTTCACAGGAACTTGAGAAGATAAAGAAATGGTGTGATAGTAATATACTATCTCTGAATTTGGATAAAACTAAATTTATGGTATTTGGGAATCGTAGACTAGATAATGAACTTCAATTGAAAAGTGGGGGAGCTAATATAGAACGAGTACATGAAATTAAATTTCTAGGTGTCATAGTTGATGACAAATTCTCCTGGAAATCTCACATCAGATATGTTCAGCACAAAATAGCAAAAAATATATCGATATTGGCAAGGGTTAGATATATTTTGGACGGGAAAGCACTACGTATTTTGTATTCTTCATTGATTTTACCATACTTAGAGTATGGCGTTGAAAACTGGGGAAATACATACAAAAGCTCACTTCAACCATTGTATATATTACAAAAAAGAGCGATAAGAATTGTGCATAAGATGGGGTATAGGGATCACACCAATGGAGCTTTCATACAGTCTAAATTGTTAAATTTTTTTGATTTAGTGGGATATAAGACTGCTGTGTTTATGTATAAAGCCAGGAACAATTTATTACCTGGTGGAATTAAAAAACTATTTCATAAAAAGGGAAGGGGGATACAATTTAAGGGGTCAGTTAAATTTAAAAATTCATGTTATACGTACAACCAAAAAAAATTTTGTATTTCCATAAGTGGGGTAAAACTATGGAATAGTTTAAGTGTAGACATAAAAATAGTAATAGAATTGACGAGTTTAAACATAAATATAAAGGTATGTGTCAATCAAGATATATGCAAGAACAGGCTTAATGATTAATTAGATGAAGTACATTTACTCAGTACTGTACCTAAGTACAGATTTGAGAGTTTTGTACTTTGAGATTTTTGCCAGTACATTTCAGAAGATAATATTGTAATTTTCCTGCACCCCATGTATCTGACAGCTGTAGCTCCTTTTCAGATGAATAAAACAAAACTCAATCAACAAATAAAGTTTTACATGTTATCATAAATTAAGACTCTATTGATCCCGGTGGGAAATCTACCAGCTACCCAGCAGAATGTAAAGTACCTCACAGTATAAGTGTATAAGGTTTTTACCATCAGCTCCACCTTTCCTAGCTGCAGCATTAAAGTGATGGGCACAGTAATTAGTCACTATGATCCAGTAGGATCAGAGACATTACTGGGACACAGGCCGTTCTGCAGGATGAGTACTGGTGCTGTTTACTATAAATATATAATACTTTTATACTTTTTCTGAAGTAGCATTTTGACTGCAGGAGTTTTATATTTTTACACCATGGTAATGATACTTTTTCTCTGGTAAAGGAGCCGAGTACTTCTTCCACCTCTGGAAATGACTTTTCTCACTTTAGTTTTCCCTTCTTGGCCAGATTTGATAGTTTTGGTACATTTATTTCTTTTCAATGTTGATCCATTAACATGTGCTCAGTGACAAACTGCAGACACTGAGTTTTCATTCCGAAGTGTATTTTACCGCTACAGTTTTGTAAACCTGTTGTGTAACAAGTCCTTAATGAAAAGCAGTAAGTAGAAGTGAAGGATTTGCTCAGGTGTGTTCGGTGTGCAGGGTCCTTACCTGGTGTCAGGAGGGTCACTAGCATTGCCACACAGATCGCTCTGCACGGATCCATCTCTCTGAGTCCACTTCATCACACCTGCTCGGTATAAATACCTTCTCTCTTCCTTCTGCCTCAGGCACAAACACACCTTTCTTCACCTCTCTGACTCGCAATTCATTCATTGTTTCCTTATTCTTCACCTAAATCAGATGGATGGACACCCCCCGTTCATATGTGTACTATAGCACTGTCACTACTCTAATACACAGTAGTAGCAGTAATACCACTGTGTGTAATTGCTGTTGCAGTCCTGCTTTCAAATACAGGATTTTTATCAGCCAGTTCTACTAAAAACATCAAAAGTAAGAGTACTCATCACGCATTAATCATCCCACTCAGATAATCATTAGATTATCATCATTATTATTACTGAGCAGCTGGTTGGGGTGGAGCTCATTTTAACTGATTTTTATCTTGTTGTGTAGTTTAATTCAGGAAATGCATCAAGTAAATAGAGGTAGTGCAGTAAAAGTTCAGTATTTCGGTCTGAAACATGATGCAGTAGCAGTACACAGTAGAAGAACTTGAGAAAAGGTACTTTACGTCCCACCACTGGACTGACACCGTGGCTGCCTGAGAGCACAGTTTATGTCAGGCAGTGACTGAGATGTGATGTTGACACTGATACGTTATCTTTGTTTGTCATCGTGTCTTTTCCCAGAACTGACGTGAAACCAAAGGCTGGATGAA